GCCCCAATCCTCTCCGCCCCTCTCCACCCCCTCTTCTTCGCTTCCATCGCCGCCAACCCCATTCGATGCCGGTCAAACGAGTAAAACGACACTCCTGCCGCGCCCCCCCCAGGCCGCGCCCTAACCACCCCCGCCACACCACCCTCACACTCACCCTCCTCTCCCGTCCCACCCACCTCTCCTCCCGATCCCTCCCCTCCCCCCGCTCCCGCCCCTGCTCTCTCTGCTGCTCCCTCTGCCCCCCCTGCTGCTCCTGCCCGTCGAACCAGCGAGGAAGATGGGGATAAATACTTCTTAACAGCCAAACTGCGGGTCGACCGAACGATTCTCTCTGTACTCGTCCGTAGCAAAGGCAGGTTGCCACCAAACCCACCAGCACCGTTGCCACTGTTGTTCGCAGGGGTATTGCTGCTGCTGCTGGTGGCAGCAGCAGCATCATCACGCCCTGTCAAACCCAAATCCACACCCATACTCTGATTCGCAGCGTCTAGTGCCTTGTTGCTTAGAGATTGGTGCCTTACCAGCAGCCTCTGTGCCCTCCCTGAAGCCTGCTGCTTCCCCTCCGATCCCTCCCCGCCACCCCGCTGCTGCTGTTGATTCTCCTCCGTTTGGGGCTGATTCTCCGATTTTCCCTCTTCCTGCTTCTCCTGCTGCTGCTGTTCCTGCCCCTGCCCCTGCCCCTGCTCCTGCTCCTGCTGCTGCTGCTGCTGCTGCTGCTGCTGCTGCTGCTGCTGCTGCTGCTGCTGCTGCTGCTGCTGCTGCTGCTGCTGCTGCTGCTGCTGCTGCTGCTGCTGCTGCTGCTGCTGCTGCTGCTGCTGCTGCTGCTGCTGCTGCTGCTGCTGCTGCTGCTGCTGCTGCTGCTGCTGCTGCTGCTGCTGCTGCTGCTGCTGCTGCTGCTGCTGCTGCTGTTGCTTCTCCTGCCGCTGCTCTTCTGGCTGAAAGCTCGTTTCCTGACTATCCACCAATGGTGAGCCTTCTTTTGGAGAAAGCTGGTGGAAACTTCCCCTTCTGGATGGCCCTAGAGGGGAACCATCAGAACCATGGTCAAGAGTAGCCGAGTCAACGCCAGTCAACGCCTTAGTTGACTCAATACCAGACTCATGGGCAAGTGTGGCCAAGTCAACGCCAGTCAACGCCTGAGCTGACTCAACACCGGATTCATGGGCAAGTGTGGCTGAGTCAACGCCAGTCAACCTGGCACTACTGCTGGGGGTGCGTGTTGGAGTGAGTGTGGGAGTGAGTGTGGGAGTGAGTGAGGGAGTGATTGTGGGAGTGAGTGAGGGAGTGAGAGTGGGAGTAAGTTCCTGCCTTGCTGCCCCCTCTCGCGTCACTTCAATTAAAACTTCTGACTTTCTTTCTCCTCCTCCCAAATCCCCCACCCCACCAGCACCAGCACCAGCAGCACCAGCACCAGCACCCTCGTCCATCTTACCTTCCTCATTTACATCCTCCTTGACCCCTTCCCCCTTCACTTCCTCCCCTCTCTCCCCTTCCTTTCCTTCCTCCTCCCCCACTGTCTCCCTCTCCCCATCATCACTACTCTCCTCCCCATCCTTCCGCCCCTCCTCACCCTCACTCTCCTCTCCCTGACCCTCCCCGGCCCTACCCTCCCCACTCCCCTTACCCTCCTCCCCCTGTCCCTCCCCACTCCCGTGTTTCACCTCACGCCCTCCCACCCCCACCAGAGCCGCAACCGCAGCAGCAAGACTCCTGAACCCTAACACTCCCTTCCTCCCCTCGCCTCTCCTCCCGTCCCCTCTCCACGTCACCTGCTTTCTCAGCTCCATCCCTCCCAACCGCTCTCCACCGGCTTCCTCTTCCTCAACCCGTTCAGGCCTGCTTCTCAGCGTGACCTGCCTTCTAAAAGCATCCATAACCCCTAACTTCTCCCCGCCACCATCCCGTCTCCCTCCACCTCCTCCTACTCCTCCTCCCCCTCCCCCCTCCCCCTCCTAGCCTCTCCCCAGGTGCAAGCCTCAGGCTTATAGACCGCTGAAACATCACAGCTAGAGAAGGCCGTTTCTCCTCCTCTTCCTCCCCTCCTCCCCCCTCCCACTCCTCCTCCCCCTCCTCCTTCTGCTCCTCCTCCCTCCCCACCTGCCAAGCTACGCAGAATCCTCCTCACCTCCTCATTCCTCCACTCCTCCTCAGCATCCCCGCTCCCTACCTGTACACCCTCCTTTTCCGCCCCCTGCCCCTCTCCTGCCTCCACAAACCCACCCTGCTGCTTCTCCTCCGTCTCCTCCCTCTCCTCCTCAATCTCCTCCTTCGTCTCCTCCTTTATCACATCCCTCCTCATCCACCTTTTCTTTTTCGGCCTAGGCAAAGCCGCCCGCCCAGCCGCCCGCCCCTGCCTACCTCTCCCCCCCAGCTTCTCCCCTTCGCCGTCTCTCCCCCCACTGCCGCTACCCGTCTCCCCTTCATCCGCCGCCTCCCTGCTGCTGCTACGACTGGCAACCATAGACATACCTCTGGAAAGGGCTTTATTGCGGGACAGAGACATGCTTCGGGTGAGAGCCATGGCGAGAGAGGGGGAGGCGCCACTTGGGGACGGTGCATTAGGGGTAGCACCACCGAAACCACCAGCAGCAGCGCCAGGAGAGGCAGCAGAAGCGGCGGCTGCTGCAGCGGCAGCGGCAGCAGCTTCAGCAGAGAGAGGCTCCTGGTATTTCTCCTCTAGCTGCTCCCATAGCTTTCCCTCCTGTACCAAGTCTTCTGAATCCTCCCCGTCCTCCTCCCCGTTGGAACTAGAACCAAAGCTGCTTCTGCTCACACCACCACCGGCAGCACCACCACCCGAAGCACCGCCACCTGCACCCGAACCACCACCCGAGCCTGCGCCCGCACCAGCACCCCCGGGGGAGGGTAACGAGCCGAAGCTGCTGCTTCGGAGACGACTCCTCTTAGACGCGGACCCAGGCCTCTCCCTGTCCTTGTCTTTGTCTGATGAGTCTGATAGAAAGCTCGACAGAAGGGACCTCCTACCTGACCTGCTGCTCCCGCTACCGCCAGCAGCAAGAGCACCCGCAGCACCACCAGTCCCCGCCTCTCCTCCCTCCCCCCCTCCCCCTTTTCCACTCTCCCCCGTTCTCGGCGAATCAAAACCCTCCCCACCCCACCCCCCCTCCCCCTCCCACTCCACATCACTCCCCGTTCCACTCCCCCCTTCTCTCCACCTCTGCACACTCTTCAAACCCGCAGCAAGCCCCTTGATCGCCCCTTTCCCCATAAGCCCCAGCAGCTCTGAAGACCCGCCAAAAGACGGCCCCCTCTGCCTCCTCAGCCTCCTCCCAAACGTGGGCGTGCGGGCAGTGGGGGTACCCGCCACAGGCGTCCCTGCTACAGACCCCCCGGCTGTAGCAGACTCTGCTGCTTCCCCCAGCGGCCCGGCTGTAGCAGGGCGGCGGGTGCTGCCGCCCGGGCTGTAGCAGGCCGGGCTATCCCCAACCCCAAGAAGTTCGTCCCCCTGAGCTTGCCCCTGCCCCCGGCTGTATCTAGACTGGCTTTGGCAGCTCTGCCTGCTGCTACCGCTCCCAACTCCTCCTAACCCACTCCCCAGCCCTCTGCCGCTGCCGGTTCCTCTGCCGGCCCATTTCGGGCTGTTGATATCCGAAGGGAGGAGCAGGGAGAACGGGGAGCAGGCGTTTGGGAGGGAGTTGGACCGGGGCGTGAGCTCAGGTTCGGCCGCGCCTGATTTCCAGGGTGGATTCCCCTCCTCGTCATCCTCCCCGGGAATTGATAAATACGGGGCTTGTGCGCGGGTTTCCCCTTCAATTTCCTCATCCCCTTCACCTGCCGGGTCCCTATCTCCTGCTCCTCCCCCTCTTCTTGCTTCTTTCTTCCCCCTGATCCTATCGCTCAGACTAACCGCTCCCTTAGAACCTGACCTTCTACCCTCGCCTCTTCCCCCCTCTCCTCCTCTCCCCGCATCTCCCCCCCCCAGCGCGGACGGGGGGGTGCGCGCGGACCTAGAGGGCGCAATTGGGGGGCGAAACCCGCTATAAGTCGCGCCCCAGGAGAACGTTCCTATAACGGGGGAGTGCGGGCGCGGGGGAGCGGGGTCCAGAGAGGGATTGTAACGGGGGTGGCGAGAGGAAGGGGTGGAGTGGCGGCTTGGGGGGACGGGGGAGACGGAAGGGGGGCTTCTAGGAGTGGCGGTATCAGGAGGGGGGGAGGAGGTGGGAACAGCGGCATCTGGTAGTGAATGAGACGACTGGGAACGAGAGGCTTGGGTGTGATGGGATTGGGACTGCAGGGATTGAGAGTGCACGGATTGGGGGTGGTGAGATTGGGACTGCAGGGATTCGGGGTGTGCGCGCGACGGGTGTGCGCGCGACGGGTGAGTGTGCGAATGTGGCACGGGCGGTTGGGGGGAGGAGGGCGAGTCTGGCTGCAGGAAAGGGGGATGCGACGGGTGCGGGTGTGAGTGCGGCACGAGCGGTTCAGAGGACGGAGTTGGGGATTCCCCAAAAGGAGAGTCTGGGGGAGCAAAAGAGCGGATCGAGGGGTGAGTGTGTGAATGAGGAATACGGGGCTGAGGAGAGGGGGAGTCCGTGGGATGTGACTGTACGCCGCGTGACTGTACACCAGGGGTAGAAGCGAAGGAGCTCGGACTAAGACCCCCCAACCCCTCAATCTCCCTCCTCTCCCTCCCATCCAACTTCTCTGCTTCTCTCACTCCCCTCTCTCCCCGTTCCTCTGCTGCTAAACGCGCCTCGTCCGCCCTTTGCCCCTCGGCCACACTCCTTCCTGCTCCAGATCCGACCCTGGGAAGCACGAGCCTGGGCACCCCGAGCCTAGGTGTAAGGTTCGGACTCGCAGGTTCGGCCTCAGACAATGCCATCATCTGAGAAGGACCGAAAGCGGTGAGCTCGGATTCCCCCCTAGGTGAACGAGCAAACGCCGCAGCAGCAGCAGCAGCAGCAGCAGCGGAGCCAGCAGCATCCTCTAGAGCGATAATGGGTGCAGAGTCGGAAGCTGCAGGGTTGGAAGCTGCAGGGTTGGAGGCTGCAGGGTTGGAAGCTACAGGGTTGGAGGCTGCAGGGTTGGAAGCTGCTACATCCACAGAATCAGCCTCTTCTGTTGCTACAGCCGCTCCTGTTGCTACACCTACTGCCGCACCTGTAACAAATATAACAGGCTCGTTACCTGTGGTAACCACGTCCCCGCCTGCTGCTACATCTACAGCATCACTCTTTCCAACCGTTACACTCTCCTCTACACCTACCGTTACCGAATTGCTCTCTTCTAGACCTACAATCACAGCAGAATCCGGAATACACGTTACAGTATGATCCGCGTCAACAACTACAGACTCGTCAACTGCTACACCTAAATCACTGCCTCCTTGGAATTCTACACTTACACCTGCTGCTGTGATTGACGTTTGACAAGCATCGGTTGCCACAGCCTTAACCACGTCAGCACCTTCAGCAGCAGCAGCATCTTCAGGACAAGCAGCAGCCACACCCACAACAGCAGCAGCAGTTTCAGCACCAGGAACAGCCACGTCAGCACCAGTGCTGCCCGCCCTTTCCCCTGCTTCCGCCTGTGGTGTTTCCGCTCCCCCTGCTTTCGCCTGTGATGTTTCCGCTTCCCCTGCTTCCGCCTTTCGTATCTCTGAATTCCCTGCTTCCGCTTGTGGTGCTTCCACTTCCCCTGCCTCCGCGCGTGGCGCTTCCGCTTCCCGTGCTCTTAACATTTCCGCATCCCCTGCTTCTGCAAGTGACGTTTCCGCGGCTCCCGCGTCCCCTCCTGGCTCTTCAGCCACCCCTTCATGCGCGCGCAGCTCCCCTATCCCCGCGTGTTCAAGCTCCGCGCTAGGCATTCGGATCGCTGCAATCCCATTCTCCTGCGTCCCCCCGTCCCTCGCCACCCGACCTTCCCCTTTAGTCTCCGAATCCCCTGAACCTTCCATCGTTTCGCCTGTTTCTCTAACATGGTTACTCGGCTCTGCGACATGGTTACCCGACACTGCGACATGGTTACCCGTTTCGTCCGCATCTCTACTCGCTGAACTGGAATCAGCCGCTCCCTCTCCGCGAGAAGGGGCAGGCTCGGAAGCACAGGCTCGTTCCCGAACCTCTAACACAAGCTCCGGAACAGTATCAGCTTTCGCGCCGGACCTAGACGTGCCGAACCAGGACGCACGGGACCTGGGCGTGCCGGACCTAGGCGTTCCCCAGCCGTGCGTGCCGGACCTAGTTGGTGTGGATGTTTCGATACGTTGCGGAGGTTCGTCATGGTCCAGCGTCATATCTTCGTTACGGAAGCAAGATAACGGGAGGATATGCGTCACCGATTCCCACCGTCGCCGAGACCGCTTATAACGAGCCGAAATATCGCTGGCAGGGCTGCTGCTGAAAGCGCGCGAAAAAATGTTGAGCTGCGGGCTGCTGAAGGGAGGATGGAACACGCCGGACCTCGGGGTTGACGACACGGATGATGACGTCATCGTAGGGTTTTCAGCATGAGGAGGAGACGAAGGAGAACGGCAAATTTTGGCGAAAGGCTTTCCGGGACGAAAATTGAAGTGCTGGCAGGAGCAGCAGCAATGCGCGGCGACGGCAGTGCCGACGTGGTAGTCCTCCCAATCGCAGCATTTCATTTCGCTGAGGTGGTCGCCATGAAACTGTAATAGACATGAGACTTGTTTCTCTTAGTCGGTCCGGTTGAAATTAAAGTTTAGGTTTAGCTATGGCGTCGCCGAAAAGGAAAAACAGGTTCCGAACCATCGTCGATCGACAACATGACGGTGCTCGAGGTCTGAGACGTCGCAAACGGTTCAGCTACGGAGTTGCGAGAGAAAGCACAGCTCCTGAACCGTCCTTAATCGACAATCTGACGGTGCAGATCGTCGCATAAATATAACCTCAGATGAAGAAAACAAGATGGAGACTGTGTCTTGACGGCGAAACCAAAACTGCAAGCTCTGAGGGGGACGCAAAATAAGAGTGGACGCTTAGGCCAGAACGTATTAAGCGACGAAACCTCGCGAAATGCACGAAACAACCACAATCCCGTCAAAGCGTATTTAAAAAATGCAAGCCACACCCGGGAACGCCCTCAGACCACGCAAAGACTACAAACTGCTCTCGTGAAGCCAACAGCCACAAGCTTAGCAATTATGCTGACGAGTACTGCAGGCGATCACCCATCGAATGGCCTGCCTGACGAAAAGTCCTGACGATGACGAGTTTCAGGACCTAATTAGTCGGCTACCTACTACGCCTGACAACAATGCGATGCCAAGAACGCCTAATGTTGGCCTCGCAAGTGGAGGGAACTTGCTTTGGCTTACTAGGAGGAGGTACTTGGGTTGGGAGTTACTCCACTGACCGTTCAGTACTGTTTCATACGTTCTGAAATGCTTCACCGTTTCAGAACGTAACACATCCAATATAACCGTGGTGCGTGAATCGCAAACAGACACCTTTTCGAGAGAGTCCAAAATGCCAGGCTGTCATGAGTCTCGACATGGCGATATGGTTGCGGATGTTGAGGTACCACGAACAAAGGACCTGCTTCTATGCGATTATCACGAAGCGTTACCCATGTCGTTGAGGACATTGGCTTCGTGGTGAGCTGTCTCGTCGGGAGGGAAATATTTTCGTCTGAGCCCAGTACATATTTTCGCCAACGATAATGGTCGATTGGATGCTGGGCCACGACAAGCTCCATGGCAGCAAGGCCAGTGCTCCCATCCCAAGGCGAAAATACACCCTGTTTCGCGCTAGCAGAGCATCTGGTTGCAGAACATGCACTGGTTGTAGAACGTCACCACGTTTGAAATGGTCTTATCACCGACGGTACAAGCACATTCACAAGAAAGCGGTTAGCTAGGATGCTGCATGGTAAAGAACATTAACCAAGCGTTTCAAAGCGGTTGAAAAGGGTATACAGCGATAAAGAAAAATTTTGCCCCCAGTACCACTCCGTCAGCTGGTGCGGCTTTGCCCGCAGGTTTCAGCCATACGGTTTATGGTACCTGACCGCACTGTAGCAGCGAATCGCGCAAGGTGAGAGGGTCGAGAAACAGGGTGTATTGCTCCAGCCAGTTGCTCCACCATTGGGAATGGCTGGCAGGACGAACAAGGCTGGCAACGCAACAACTGTACACTGAAACCGTTGACAGCTAATGCAGAGGATATACTGTAGATCGACAAGATTGAGAAACATAAGTTGCTTATTCGTGTCCACAGCTCCTCTGGAAGTTTACTCACTTTAGGAAAGACAAAACGATATGCTAATGTGAAGCCAAGACACATTCTGCATAATGTGGAGCTAGTATGGGGACAGAAGTTTTGAAAAAGTGAAGAGAACTTAGATTGTCGCTCTTTAGAAGAGCACGAAGGGGTCACAACACAAAACCACACTGCTTCTACCCAACAACCCCTGCTTGCAACAGAAGCTATAACCCTGCACTTGGCACCCATAGCGATGCATATCCCAACCATATCCCGAACGCTTCCTATACAGCATTATATCAGCTGTTCAATAGGCCTGTTCGTGCAAGAAACAACCAATCCCATAGCCTATACCATCATCTTTCTCTAGTTCTCTTAGTTGGAAAACGAGCAAGCTGCTGTTCTAACAAGGAATTGCCAGCTCGATGGCCCTGAGCATGCTGCAGACACATCACGCCCAGAAACTGTCGCCTCGCCACCCCAGCTTGGAGCCCTAAACCTCCGTTCTATTCAGTCCTCCCCCCCTCCTGAAATCCACAACCAGCTCACCCACCCTAGGCATTGCTCATGGCTCTTCCAAGCGCCCTAGCTCCCTTCACTTCCTCACTCCCTCACTCCTTCACCTCATCTACCCTCTTCTCCTCCCACTCTCTCCTCCCCTCGCGCCCTCCAATTCTCCCCATACCCCTTCTGGTTCTTCGGCGTCCTGCCTCCACTCCCCACCCCGCCATGCCCCGGACTCTCCCTATACCCCACCGGCCCCTCTCTGTACCCCCCTCCACCCCTCACTCTCATTGGACTAGCCGACCCAGCAGCAGCACCCACAGACCCTCCCCCTCCTTCCTCCTCGCCCCGTTCCGAGAACCGGTGGTGGTTCACGTGGTGGTGGTGCATGTGCCTCACATCAGGTGATTGCATGGGGGAGAGTGCGGAGCGTCTCACCCCCCCGTGGTGGTGGGGGGCGGGGGAGCGCGAGCCCTTGCGCTCGCCCCCTCCCCCGCCTCCGCTGGAGTTGCTCCGGCGGTCCATTGGGTTGTGCTGCGGCGTGCCAGGTGGCGGCCTGTGGTTCAAGGAACAGGGGAGGGAGCGATGGGGGAGAAGGGAAGAATATGCTTGAAAGGGTACAGCAAAACACGTTAAAAGAATATGAAAGCCATTCTCAATAGACCTAGACCCTAAGCCTCTGTGTAGAGCAAAACGCATAGCAAAATTAAAAACACATCCGCCCACTCCCCACAACCCCGCACCACTCCCCACCCCACCCACCAGCACCCCACTCACCTAGTGACCTTATCCGGGTCAAACGGCTGGTTGGCGAGGTAGCTCAATGCGGTAACCACATCGCCAATCATGGGTCGCTGAGCTGCCTGCTCCTGCAAGCACATCGCCGCCACTGCGAGCGCCTGATACAACCCTCGCATCGGGTAGCGCCCCCTCAAGCCAGGATCCGCCATGGCTGGAAACTTCCGCCGGTCTTTGAACAGTGGTCGAGCCTGGAGGGTGGGGGAGAGGCGGAGGGGAGGGGGGAAAGGGGAGGAGCGAGAGGGAAGGGAGGGGAGGGGGTGGGGGAGGGGGGGGAGGTGGAGAGGGAGGGATGTGGAATATGAGTATAGCTCTGAAAGGCATGTGCAATGGAAAGTACTTCATAGAATTCAGCTCTTTATCACATCGATTGTGATAACCATACACACCCCCCCTCCCTCTCCCTCTCTCCTTTCACTCCTCCCCTGCACCCCGCAGCCACAACTCTTGAGTTCGGCTTTCCAACCACTGGCTTCCACGTGGCTTACCCATGCGACTAGATTGTGCTCGCCGTGTCGCCTCCTCATGTCAATCGCCCGCCGACCCGTAATAAGCTCCAAAAGCACGACACCGAAACTGTACACGTCCGACTTCACTGTAAGCTGACCCGTCATGGCGTACTCGGGTGCACAGTAACCGTACGTTCCCATGACTCGCGTGGAAACGTGCGTTTTGTCGCCAACCGGGCCCAGTTTCGCGAGGCCGAAATCGGAGAGCTTCGGGTGCCATGATTCGTCGAGAAGGATATTTGATGATTTGAAATCGCGATATATGACAGGAGGATTCGCCTTGACGTGTAGATATTCGAGGCCCTTGGCGGCGCCAGCAGCCACGTGCATGCGCATGTTCCATTCCAACGGCTCTTTGCCCTCCGGCAAGTCTGTAACCCGTGTAGGCGAGAAGAAGCCAAGTGGGATCAAATGATTAGGGTGCGACCATTGCGAACGTTATGTGCTGTATTGAGATAGCAGAATTTATTACAATGACTCAAATGACTTCATACAGCAAATCAATCAAAAATAAACAAAAGCTTTAAGGACCCAGTTCGGAGTGCAGTATGCGGGACGGATATAGCATTTTGAATTTTTTTCTTACCATGTAGATGGTCCTCAAGTGCGCCGTTTGCCATGAATTCGTACACCAATAGCCGCTGGTCGCCATCGGCGCAGTAACCAATCAGGTTCACGAGATGCGGGTGGTGTAACAGCGACAGCATGAGCACCTCCACGAGAAACTCTCTGTTGCCCTGCATTCCGTTACGGTCGAGCTGCTTCACGGCTACAATCTGTTTGGAGCAAAAAGGGACAATAGCGGGGATAACGCCGGAAGATCTGATACTGTTTTAGCAATCCACAAAACACACATGAATATCAGTAACATCTGCACGAAATGCTCGTCTTACAGAGCTAGACGATTTTTTCACGAAATCAAGGTGAACAAGGCTTCCCTGCTGGCAGGTGAAAGGTTTTCCGCCAACGTACGCACTTGACGCATCTAGAAATTGACGGCGTTCGTCAGCGTAAGAAAACAGCCTAATATTTCCACAGTTTTGAACTTCGCTAGGTCTTCGTTTTATCGTAAAAAGGAAAAAAAAACTACACTTCTCACAAGCAATACTCAAAAGGGAAGAGCAGCACCAACACAAGCAGCAGTGCCAGCAGCAGCGCCAGCAGCAGCGCCGGCAGCAGCATCAGCAGCAGCAACAGAGCACATCAAAAGGAGCGAACGACTCACCTGGCCAGTAGACTCCAGCTTTCCCTTATAAACGCGTCCGAAGCCGCCTTCCCCTACAAAGTTCTTCTTCGAAAACCCGCCCGTCGCACGCTCGAGCTCGCGAAACGTGAACGTCTGCGCGGCGATCGATGGAGCGACCCCTGCTAGCGGATTGAACGACACCTGCTGCGACGCCTGCGGCGGATGCGACGGCTGCGACGCAGGATCGCTCGCGTGCGACTCTCCGTCTGCCCTTCGCGTTTCGCCATCAGCGGAAGTGGCGGCCGCAGAAGCAGGAGCCTGTCCGTTTGCGTTTTCCGTTTCAGTTTCTGTCACCTCGGCCTCCCCACCAGACGGCACCGCTGCTCCCCCGTCCTCGCTCCGAGAAACAGACGAAGTTTGAATTGATCGGGTTCCGCTGCTGCTGCTGCTGCTTGCTGACTGCTGCTGCTGCTGGTGTGCCTGCTGCTGCGCGTGCTGCTTCTGCTGCGGAGAGTTCGCGCCTCGATCCGAGCGGAGCGACGCGTCAGCCTTAGCGGTTGTGTCGCCGTGCGACATTTCGCTTTCTCCCTTTCGGGAAGAGGGTGAGGGTGTCATACCTGCGAGTGCAAACAACGACCAGGTCCGACTTTCAGCCGTCAAAGTCCCGAAAGGAGAAGTCCGGAGATTGTGGGGGAAGTGCGAGTTCAGTGTACCTTCATCAGTGTAAAGTTTTGAGCCATTGTGGAGGTTTCCAGACCACGGCTCAAGGCAGGATGCTGACTTGCGTGTGACTCTGGTGGTAGTGTGTGTTCAGCGCACCTTCGACGATGTCGGGAGCGACTTTCGGATTTGCGACAGTCCGCTCCGAAGACCCTTTTCGCCATCTGTGGTTGAGATCGTCCGCGCTAGAAGCGTCTCCGCAACAACTCAGCCAGCCCATCGCCTATTATTTCTTCTCTAGGTTTCGCTCGCACCCACTTCGGGAGCTCTTCAACCAACGAGTATGTTGAGTGTGCTAATGCTAGGAAGAAATCCCTGCTATTACGCAGGTAATACTTCTGGTGTATAGCTCTATCCTTCAGAGAACGCACAAGTCGAGCTCAGTTGTCGTTACGCTGTCTTCATCTAAGTTACGGAGCGGTATCTAGCATGCATCCTTCAACGCCTTCTCTACCGAAGCTAAGCTGACTACTTGAGCTTCTTAATTACGGTTGGATCCCGTCATGGCACACGTTGGATTAGACGGAAAGGAAGGTGCAGAGAGGAGGACCAGTAGCAACTAGACGATTGCTCTCTTTCCCCTCGTGGGCTGTGAGTCGCGCTTGGTCAGGCGCCGATGCGTGCGTATGTGAAACTGATAGCTCGTGAAGCTTGAACAACTGAATTTGGAATGCAGGGAGGGTAAACCTAGCGGGGACGAGCAGCAGACGAATGGTTGGAGAAAAAAGGGGTGCCTTGCGGCGGAGGGAAATAGCAGCTTCAGCAGCACGAGGCCTACGTGCGAACGGACCTGTGCAGAACAGCTCCAGCTGAAGAACTCACGAGTTTTTGTCCCATCAATTCATGTGGTCAGGCTGACGAGAGCGGCATGCATGGATGGATGGGGCCATAACGGGAATGGATGCAGAGAAGCAAAAGGACTGCTGGTCAAGGCATGTATGACGGTGTCCTTACTGCTACGAAAGGTTTTGGCATTGCACTACATTTCCTTCCACCAAAACAGTCTGGCGGAAGCAAAGCAACCTTAGAGGCCTCAGCTCTTCTTGCCGTGCACTCGAAAAGCAGTCATGCCTCGCGTCGGCTCGGCAGGACACAGAGTGCTATCCAACATTCGAAAGATGGCAAGAGGAGATTCTAGCGACACGGAGTCGATTGTGCGCATCGACCCTGCGGTTCGATTCGTGGCGCAGAAAAAATCCCGCCGAACTGTTTCCTGTCGGGCAGGTAAAACTGGACATCTGGTTTCGGGGTTGGCTTCTGAAAGTTTCCCTCGCGTTTCTGGGCTCAGAAAGTCGGAAACTTGTTTTGGACGGTCAGCATAGCACTCGCGTCCTGCACAACATCCGTGCCGCAATGTCTCTGGTACGGGAAACCGGGTCGCGTCAGAGAAGCCATGAGAGGTTTGGAGTCTTTCACGTCCCCTTCTTGTCGCAGAACTGAGTATGTCAGACGACTTCCACTGAAATTCCAGAGAAAACTGTAGTACATGAGATTCGAAATGTGAACTTAAAAAATCTGGTATATATTACTAGCTGTGAGAAAACAACTTTTCATACTTTGCGTCACACGCATACCGCGTACAAGACTAGCCACTGTACAAATGAGGTTTGGGTTGCTGCAAGGGAAGCGGTATCTGGCAGAGGTTGGTTGAGGTCTGGTACGGCTTTGCACCACACAGCACCACTGCGGGTCGGAAGTGCGCATGAGTTCCGCCAGGAGCCACGATCTGGAGATGTGATCTTCTGACGGCTAGGAAACTGGACGGCCACGATGTACTCCCGTGTCGGTGCGAAGGGCGGAATTTGGGAGAACGAAAACGGAAGGTTCATTGCTTGTTGTCGGGTTGTTGGTTGTTTTGGTGGGGAAGGCTGGCTTGGAGTAGGTTTCCTTGGAAAGGAGTGGGGATTAACCGGGGCATAGGACGGTTACATTCGGCGTGCGGCGTGTAGCGAGGGGTAATACTGGTGCCACCAACAACGCAACTTGGAACAGCCAACTGGCTGAGCGTGAAGCTTGCAGCACGGGTTACCCTATCCCGAGAGTTGCGAATCTGTTTATTGCCAGTGGCGACTTTCGCTCGTTCTCGCAAAGCGCTGTGCAGCCCCAACACGAGCCTGACTAGCGCAACTGACCCACACGCGTCGCACTTTTCCTCTCCTCGCCGCCTTTCTCCGTCTCTGTCCTCGTTCCAAGCTGAATCCGAGCTGTAATCGTGCGGGCGACTAACGCACTACTTGTACCGTCCCTGCGTCGCGCACCCATGAGCCCCGTATGGACTTTACCTTTGAATTTCGTTGACCGTGGGCTGTCGCGGCGGATGCAGTGACTACGTGACTCCAGGCCAATGTTAGTGCGACAGAAGTTCCCTGTCGCAAGTAGCGCACGCGTGGGACTAAAGTGCAGAGATTCATCCCCCGTGAGAATCACGCAATTCGGCTTTAGCCACGTCAGCAGCACGTGAGGCGCCACGTGTGCAGCACGTGCACGCCACGCGCGCAGCACCGCGAGATATATTGGATCATGGCCCCCCCAGCCCCAGCTCCTTATCTTTCTCATCCGAGGAGTCCCCGCAGTTTCCGCTCCTTCCGCCATGGCCGCTCCCCCCGAAACTTCCGCAATACACTCTTTCCCTCCGCCGACGGGTTTCTGCTCCTCCCCCTTGTCGCGCTCCTCCTCTTCCCCGCGCCGTTCTCCCCAGCGCCACCATCATCGTTCCGCGCGCCGTTTCTCTTCCCCGGCGGCGTGGCTTCTGCGCGCGCTGCGCCAATGAGCGTGCTGGACGTGTTCCGCCCGTCGTGCCCGCTTCCGCCCATGAGCGGACCCCCCGGAGGTACGTTCCGCCCATGAGCGCACGCAGCCTCCGCCTTAGTGCGTGCTGCTTCTCCCCGTCCCCTGCTCTCCCCTTTCTCCCCTTCCTCTTTCCCCTCTCCCCCTCTCCCCTTTATCCCTTCTCTTGCCGTCCCTCTCTCCTCTCCCCTCCCGTCCCTATCTCCCCACCTTCTCCTCGTTACAATCACACCAACCAGGTGGGAACAGGTGGAGCGATGTGACTGTAAGGGGGGCAGCTTTCAGGAGCAGCTGGGACCCCCATGGGGTGCAGTCAAGAGCAGGAGGGAAAGTGACTGTTCCTCCCAACCCTCTCCCTCCTCTCTCTCGTTCTCACCATCTCACCAGGTAGAGCAGGAGAAGCAGTTGGGACGATGTGACTGTATGGTGGGCAGCTTTCAGGGGCAGCTTTCAGAGGCAGTTTTCAGGGGCAGCAGGGACCCCCCTGGGCTGCGATGAAGAGCAGGAAGGAGCGCTACTGTGCCCCATGGCATGGCTGTGCTGTGCTGCTCGCTTTCCTTCTCTTACTGACCCTCTCTCCCCGTCTTCCCCTCGCTACAATCACACCAACCAGGGTGGAGCAGGCGGAGCGATGTGACTGTATGGGGGGTGGTAGCATAGAGGGGCAGCAATCCGTTTCAAGCAGCCCCCATTGATTACTTGCTGTCTTCCTGTCCCCGCTTCTCCCTCTCTTCCCCTCTCACCTCTCTCACCCCTCGGTTTCCCCACTTCTCGTCCCGCCCTCTCCTCATCACACCAACCAGGGTGGAGCAGGCGGAGTGACGTGACTGTATGGGGGGCAGCGTTCAAGGGCAGCAGGGACTCCCCTGGGGTGCGGTCAAGAGCAGGAGGGAACGTGACAGTGCCAGTCATGTGGCATGGCTGTGCTGTGCTGCTTTTTGAGTCGACTAAAAAATCCAGCCATGCGGCATGGCTGTGCTATGCTACTCTCAACGCTCCACTCTCTCCCCTCTCTCTCCGCCCTCTCCCCCTTCACAATCTCGCCAACCAGGGTGGAGTAAATGGAGCGATGTGACTGTATGGGGGGCGGCTTTCAAGGGCAGCAGGGACCCCCCTGGGGTGCGGTCAAGGGCAGGACGCAACGTGACAGTGCCGTGTGGCATGGCTGTGCTGCTGGACGTGGCGAATGTGACCCTCGACACGCTACACGTGCACGGATGGCTCAAGTAAGAGTATGCTTTATAGTGGTGCTGCTGCTGCTGCTGCTGCTGCTGTGCCGTGTGTGCGGCATGGCTGTGCTGCTGGACGTGGCAAATGTGACCCTTGATACTCTGCACGTGCACGGATGGCTCAAGTGAGTGCGAGGGAAGGAGATAGTTCAACTCAAAACACAGCAGGCGATGGCACTGTGCCGTGTGAGTAGCATGGCTGTGCGGGTGGATGTGGCGAATGTGACCCTCGACACGCTACACGTGCACGGGTGGTTGAAGTGAGTACTGGGAGAGGAAAGTGTGCTGGTGGTGCTGGTGGTGCTGCTGTTGTGCCGTGTGGCGTGGCTTAGCTTCATTATAGTACTCTTTGTTAGGATCCCTTTTATTCGTTATTGTCACATCACATCCTCATCACCTCCCTTCATCCATCAGGGTCCTAGACAATAAGCCACGCCTGCCGCGCATTGAGGTCCGTGCTAACTTCATTATAGTCACCGGGCGGCTGACGGTGGGGGAAAAGGACAAGCAGTTTGCCGCCCAGGCACTGTTCACGCTCACGCCCAACAGCGGGCGGCAGAGGAGAGAGTACGCCTTCACGCTCTTCCCCCCGGCCGAACCTGCCTTCCCTAGGCCCTTGGGCCACAAGGTGTTTGCTGTGGTGAGTAGTGGTGAGTAGTGGTGAATGTGTGTTCGGTTCCTCAACACTCCCAGTAAGAGGCAGGCAGAGGAGAGAGTATGGCTTCACGCTCTTCCCCCCGCCCGAACCCGCCTTTCCCAGGCCTCTGGCCCACAAGGTGTTTGCTGTGGTGAGAGGTGGTAGTGCTGTGAGTGGGGCGTACTAACGTGCATGTAACATGTACGGATGCACATCCTCCCTGCGGTGAAATCACTTATGAGAATTCTCAAAAGTGATATCAACATATCCTCCCTGCGGTGAAATCACTTATGAGAATTCTCAAAAGTGATATCAACATATCCTCCCTGCGGTGAAATCACTTATGAGAATTCTCAAAAGTGATATCAACATATCCTCCCTGCGGTGAAATCACTTATGAGAATTCTCAAAAGTGATATCAACATATCCTCCCTGCGGTGAAATCACTTATGAGAATTCTCAAAAGTGATATCAACATATCCTCCCTGCGGTGAAATCACTTATGAGAATTCTCAAAAGTGATATCAACATATCCTCCCTGCGGTGAAATCACTTATGAGAATTCTCAAAAGTGATATCAACATATCCTCCCTGCGGTGAAATCACTTATGAGAATTCTCAAAAGTGATATCAACATATCCTCCCTGCGGTGAAATCACTTATGAGAATTCTCAAAAGTGATATCAACATATCCTCCCTGCGGTGAAATCACTTCTGAGAATTCTCAAAAGTGATATCAACATATCCTCCCTGCGGTGAAATCACTTATGAGAATTCTCAAAAGTGATATCAACATATCCTCCCTGCGGTGAAATCACTTATGAGAATTCTCAAAAGTGATATCAACATATCCTCCCTGCGGTGAAATCACTTGAACCCTTCGTGAATAGAACCCTTCGTTTTACCCCTTCTTCCCCTGCCTTCCACCCTATCCGTCCCCTCTCTCCTCTCCCTCTTCTCTCTTCTTCCCCCCACGCCAAGGTGGGGGGGCAGGTGGGCTTGCACGGCCTCCCAGGCCCGCTGTCCATGCCAGTGGCAGGGTGGGTGCACTTAAACAGAAGAACCGCCTCCTTTTCCTCTTCCTTTTCCTCTTCCTTCTCCACCCTTTTCCACCCCTCTACTTCTCTCCTTTTTCCCACCACCAAGGTCGGAGGGCAGGTGGACTTGCACGGCCTCCCAGGCCCGCCCTCCATGCCGGTGTGGGTGCGCTTGAATAAGACGTCGATCGCCGGCCAGAAGGAGATCGTGGTGGACGCTGATGTCAGCACGTGGCCGGTGGGCGGCGAGATTGCGATTGCGTCTACGAGTGCGAAGATGGACGAAGCCGAAAAGGCAGTGATTGCAGGAGGTGTGTATGGGTGGAGCGCGGTTCAGTTTGGTTTGGTTCGGCTTGGTGCTGTTTGATGTGGTGCACTGCGGTGTGGTTGTATGAAAAACACTACACAGGGTATTAGTAGCGGAAAAGTGTGTCTAGACACAGTTCGGTTCACTTCAATCCCATCCAACCTCCCTCCCGAGAATTCTCAGAAGTGACTCCTTCCTAGTAACTTTTGACTCAGCTCAAAAGTCACCTCGTGACTCCTTCCTGTTCACATCCCCTCCACCCCACCCAATCGTCCCCAACCTCAGAGCTACCGTATATCTGAGCTACCTCACAGTCCCCCTCCTCATGGTAGCTAGGTGACTTTTGAGTCGACTCAAAAGTCACTGTATATCGCTCACAGCCCCCAATAGAAGTCACTGTATATCGCTCACAGCCCCCAATAGAAGTCACTGTATATCGCTCACAGCCCCCAATAGAAGTCACTGTATATCGCTCACAGCCCCCAATAGAAGTCACTGTATATCGCTCACAGCCCCCAATAGAAGTCACTGTATATCGCTCACAGCCCCCAATAGAAGTCACTGTATATCGCTCACAGCCCCCAATAGAAGTCACTGTATATCGCTCACAGCCCCCAATAGAAGTCACTGTATATCGCTCACAGCCCCCAATAGAAGTCACTGTATATCGCTCACAGCCCCCAATAGAAGTCACTGTATATCGCTCACAGCCCCCAATAGAAGTCACTGTATATCGCCCACAGCCCCCAATAGAAGTCACTGTATATCGCTCACAGCCCCCCTCCTCACCGTAGCTCTGAGCTACCCAATCATTCCTACGATGCCAAACTCCTCCCTCCTCCCTCCTCCCTCCTCCCTCCTCCCTCCTCCCTCCTCCCTCCTCCCGCCTCCCTCCTCCCTCCTCCCTCCTCCCTCCTCCCGCCTCCCTCCCTCCCTCCTCCCTCCTCCCTCCTCCCGCCTCCCTCCTCCCTCCTCCCTCCTCCCTCCTCCCTCCTCCCTCCTCCCGCCTCCCTCCTCCCTCCTCCCTCCTCCCTCCTCCCTCCTCCCTCCTCCCACCTCAAGTACTACTACCATGACAGCCATATGGATTGCATGCTTCTCTTTCCCTGCCTTCTCTTTCCCTGCCTTCTCTTTCCCTGCCTTCTCTTTCCCTGCCTTCTCTTCCCTTTCTCTTGCCATTCATACCCATTTTTCCCTTCCCTTCCCCTTCTCTTCCCATTCATACCCATTTTTTCCCTTCCCTTCCCCTTCTCTTCTCACCCAGTCGCCCCTCACACTCAAAGTTACCGCATAACACTCACCACCCCTCTAAAGTATTCCCATGGCAGCAATCCCACGGCCATACGCCGTGGCCACGTATTGAAACCATGGCACCTACATGGTGCTCTATTGCACTCACCACCCCTCTAAAGTATTCCCATGGCAGCAATCCCACGGCCATCCCTGACGGGTTCGGAGGGGTGGTGGAGGTGAGGGGGGAGATGGGGTTGCTGCACCGGAAACACACCAAATCATTGCGATATAGCAGGTGGAGGAAACGGGGAAATGACGTGAGGCCGTAGCGTACAGGGTTTCTCTGGTCCGACCCATTCTTCCCTTACCTTTTTCCCCTCCACCATCCCCCAGTCACCCGACACCCTCAGGGCTACCGCGTAACACTCCCAGCCCCTCTCAAATACTCGCACGACGGCAATCCCGAGGCCATCCCTGATGGGTTTGGAGGGGCGGTGGACGTGAGGGGGGAGGTGGGGCTGCTGCACCGGAACACACCGAATCATTGTCATCTCCCTGCTCCCTCCCTTTCCCTCTTTTCCCCCTCTCTCCCCCCCAAGTTTCCCCCCACCCTCAGGGCTACCGCGTAACACTCCCAGCCCCTCTCAAATACTCGCACGACGGCAATCCCGAGGCCATCCCTGATGGGTTTGGAGGGGCGGTGGACGTGAGGGGGGAGGTGGGGCTGCTGCACCGGAACACACCGAATCATTGTCATCTCCCTGCTCCCTCCCTTTCCCTCTTTTCCCCCTCTCTCCCCCCCCAGTTTCCCCCCACCCTCAGGGCTACCGCATATTGCTTTCAGGCCCCCTAAAGTATTCCCACGACGGCAATCCCAAGGCCGTGCTGGACGGGTTCGGAGGGGCGGTGGACGTGAGAGGAGAGGTGGGGCTGCTGCACCGCAACATCGTGATCTACGGGGTGCATGAGACGGGGAAATACGAGCTGGAAGGTCGGTGTGACTATAATGAATGGTGACCGTGCTGGAGGGCAGGGTAGGGGGTGTTGGTCTGGAAAACAGCAGAGGGTACTGCTGGGGCGGTACGGTACCCACTTAGACAAGTCCCTAAGATCACTCTGTCTACCACTCCCTCACACCCCCCTGCAGAGGGTTTTTGAGGCGCCTCAAAAACCACTTCCTCACACCCCCCTGCAGAGGGTTTTTGAGGCGCCTCAAAAACCACTCCCTCACACCCCCCTGCAGAGGGTTTTTGAGGCGCCTCAAAAATCCTGCAGAGGGTACAGGCAGGAGGGCACTTCATGGTCGTCATGACCCAGACCCCTCCGTTTATAGAGGGGGTGCAGTTCGCTTACATGGGGCAGCAGGGCGTGCTGGGGCGCTACCCACTGCACTTCCACTCCACACGTGAAGAGGGGGGCTAAAAAAGCCTTTGTCTCACCACATTGCATCCCTCCGTCCTTCCCTCAACCCCTCTCAGGAGGTCACTTCATGGTCTTCATGACCCAAACCCCTCAATTCATCGAAGGAGTTCAATTCACCTACATGGGGCAACAGGGCGTGCTGGGTCGGTACCCGCTGCACTTCCACCGTTTGTGAAGGTTCAATTTTCCTTCCTCTCACCACACTGCACCCCTCCGTCCCTCTCTCCTTGCCTCTCAGGAGGGCACTTCATGGTCTTCATGACCCAGACCCCTCAATTCATCGAAGGAGTTCAGTTTGCTTGTATGGGGCAGCAGGGCGTGCTGGGGCGCTACCCGCTGCACTTCCACTGTTTGAGATTACTTGCACCCCTCCGTCCCTCTGCACCGCATTGCACCCCTCCTTCCCTCTCCCAGGCGGTCATTTCATGGTGTTTATGACCCAGACCCCTCAATTCATCGAAGGAGTTCAGTTTGCTTATATGGGACAGCAGGGCGTGCTGGGGCGGTACCCGCTGCACTTCCACGTGTGTGGAGAGGCGAATCAAAGCCACGTCGTGCGGAAGAATGCGATTGTGTACAGCAAGCAGGTGAGGAGTAGGCAGCAAGCAGGTGAGGAGTAGGCAGCAAGCAGGTGAGACGGTGTAACGTAATAAATAAGCAGGTGGGCAGCAAAGCAGCAAGCAGGAGATGGTTTTGCATAGTAGAATGAATAAGCACAGTAACAACTTATGTTTTGACCGCGCGCATGCTGGGGCGTGCTGGGGCGCTACCTGCTGCACTTCCACGTGTGTGGGGAGGCGAATCAGAGTCATGTCGTGCGCAAGAATGCGATCGTTAATAGCAAGCAGGTGAAGGGTGGATTCAGGTAATAAGTGTATTTTTTAGACGTTCAAAAACGCACTTTACTTGTATCAATTGTATTGTATTTTATATCCGCCGTAAATACAGCAAAGTGTGTCCTGCTTCCATCCAAACCCCATTCTTTACCATTTGGATTCCTCTCTCTTCCATTTACACCCCCCCCTCAGCGCTGTGTGGTGATTCACGCGACGAGCAACATGACGATTGCAGACACGGTGACGTATGAGAGCAAGGGCACTGCTTATTACCATTCCACTCCCCTCTATAACCATTTTAACCGATCCAAACCCCCTGTGTACCCTTCCCAGCGCTGTGTGGTGATCCATGCCACGAGCAACATGACGATTGAAGACACGGTGACGTTCGAGAGCAAGGGGCACTGCTTGTATACCAACTGTCCCCCGTCCCACGGCGACATACGAGAGCAAGGGGCACTGCTCGTATACCAACTGTCCCCCGTCCCACGGCGACATACGAGAGCAAGGGGCACTGCTTGTATACCAACTGTCCCCCGTCCCACGGCGACATACGAGAGCAAGGGGCACTGCTTGTATACCAACTGTCCCCCGTCCCACGGCGACATACGAGAGCAAGGGGCACAGCTTGTATACCAACTGTCCCCCGTCCCACGGCGACATACGAGAGCAAGGGGCACTGCTTGTATACCAACTGTCCCCCGTCCCACGGCGACATACGAGAGCAAGGGGCACTGCTTGTATACCAACTGTCCCCCGTCCCACGGCGACATACGAGAGCAAGGGGCACTGCTTGTATACCAACTGTCCCCCGTCCCCCGGCGACATACGAGAGCAAGGGGCACTGCTTGTATACCAACTGTCCCCCGTCCCACGGCGACATACGAGAGCAAGGGGCACTGCTTCCTGGTGGAGGAAGGGTGACATACGAGCAACATGACGATTGAAGACACGGTGACATACGAGAGCAAGGGGCACTGCTTGTATACCAACTGTCCCCCGTCCCACGGCGACATACGAGAGCAAGGGGCACTGCTTGTATACCAACTGTCCCCCGTCCCACGGCGACATACGAGAGCAAGGGGCACTGCTTGTATACCAACTGTCCCCCGTCCCACGGCGACATACGAGAGCAAGGGGCACTGCTTGTATACCAACTGTCCCCCGTCCCACGGCGACATACGAGAGCAAGGGGCACTGCTTGTATACCAACTGTCCCCCGTCCCACGGCGACATACGAGAGCAAGGGGCACTGCTTCCTGGTGGAGGAAGGGTGGGAGAGCAAGGTGACCTGACCATGCACCAACCCCAATCCACTCAAACCCCTCTCTGCACCATTTAAACCCTTGGCAGCGCTGTGTGGTGATCCATGCAACGAGCAACATGACGATTGAAGACACGGTGACATACGAGAGCAAGGGGCACTGCTTGTATACCAACTGTCCCCCGTCCACGGCGACATACGAGAGCAAGGGGCACTGCTTGTATACCAACTGTCCCCCGTCCCACGGCGACATACGAGAGCAAGGGGCACTGCTTGTATACCAACTGTCCCCCGTCCCACGGCGACATACGAGAGCAAGGGGCACTGCTTGTATACCAACTGTCCCCCGTCCCACGGCGACATACGAGAGCAAGGGGCACTGCTTGTATACCAACTGTCCCCCGTCCCACGGCGACATACGAGAGCAAGGGGCACTGCTTCCTGGTGGAGGAAGGGTGGGAGAGCAAGGTGACCTGACCATGCACCAACCCCAATCCACTCAAACCCCTCTCTGCACCATTTAAACCCTTGGCAAGCGCTGTGTGGTGATCCATGCAACGAGCAACATGACGATTGAAGACACGGTGACATACGAGAGCAAGGGGCACTGCTTGTATACCAACTGTCCCCCGTCCCACGGCGACATACGAGAGCAAGGGGCACTGCTTGTATACCAACTGTCCCCCGTCCCACGGCGACATACGAGAGCAAGGGGCACTGCTTGTATACCAACTGTCCCCCCGTCCCACGGCGACATACGAGAGCAAGGGGCACTGCTTCCTGGTGGAGGAAGGGTGGGAGAGCAAGGTGACCTGACCATGCACCAACCCCAATCCACTCAAACCCCTCTCTGCACCATTTAAACCCTTGGCAGCGCTGTGTGGTGATCCATGCAACGAGCAACATGACGATTGAAGACAACGGTGACATACGAGAGCAAGGGGCACTGCTTGTATACCAACTGTCCCCCGTCCCACGGCGACATACGAGAGCAAGGGGCACTGCTTGTATACCAACTGTCCCCCGTCCCACGGCGACATACGAGAGCAAGGGGCACTGCTTGTATACCAACTGTCCCCCGTCCCACGGCGACATACGAGAGCAAGGGGCACTGCTTCCTGGTGGAGGAAGGGTGGGAGAGCAAGGTGACCTGACCATGCACCAACCCCAATCCACTCAAACCCCTCTCTGCACCATTTAAACCCTTGGCAGCGCTGTGTGGTGATCCATGCAACGAGCAACATGACGATTGAAGACACGGTGACATACGAGAGCAAGGGGCACTGCTTGTATACCAACTGTCCCCCGTCCCACGGCGACATACGAGAGCAAGGGGCACTGCTTGTATACCAACTGTCCCCCGTCCCACGGCGACATACGAGAGCAAGGGGCACTGCTTGTATACCAACTGTCCCCCGTCCCACGGCGACATACGAGAGCAAGGGGCACTGCTTGTATACCAACTGTCCCCTGTCCCACGGCGACATACGAGAGCAAGGGGCACTGCTTGTATACAACTGTCCCCCCGTCCCACAGCGACATACGAGAGCAAGGGGCACTGCTTCCTGGTGGAGGAAGGGTGGGAGAGCAAGGTGACCTGACCATGCACCAACCCCAATCCACTCAAACCCCTCTCTGCACCATTTAAACCCTTGGCAGCGCTGTGTGGTGATCCATGCAACGAGCAACATGACGATTGAAGACACGGTGACATACGAGAGCAAGGGGCACTGCTTGTATACCAACTGTCCCCCGTCCCACGGCGACATACGAGAGCAAGGGGCACTGCTTGTATACCAACTGTCCCCCGTCCCACGGCGACATACGAGAGCAAGGGGCACTGCTTGTATACCAACTGTCCCCCGTCCCACGGCGACATACGAGAGCAAGGGCACTGCTTCCTGGTGGAGGAAGGGTGGGAGAGCAAGGTGACCTGACCATGCACCAACCCCAATCCACTCAAACCCCTCTCTGCACCATTTAAACCCTTGGCAGCGCTGTGTGGTGATCCATGCAACGAGCAACATGACGATTGAAGACACGGTGACATACGAGAGCAAGGGGCACTGCTTGTATACCAACTGTCCCCCGTCCCACGGCGACATACGAGAGCAAGGGGCACTGCTTGTATACCAACTGTCCCCCGTCCCACGGCGACATACGAGAGCAAGGGGCACTGCTTGTATACCAACTGTCCCCCGTCCCACGGCGACATACGAGAGCAAGGGGCACTGCTTTGTATACCAACTGTCCCCCGTCCCACGGCGACATACGAGAGCAAGGGGCACTGCTTCCTGGTGGAGGAAGGGTGGGAGAGCAAGGTGACCTGACCATGCACCAACCCCAATCCACTCAAACCCCTCTCTGTACCATTTAAAACCCTTGGCAGCGCTGTGTGGTGATCCATGCAACGAGCACCATGACGATTGAAGACACGGTGACATACGAGAGCAAGGGGCACTGCTTGTATACCAACTGTCCCCCCGTCCCACGGCGACATACGAGAGCAAGGGGCACTGCTTGTATACCAACTGTCCCCCGTCCCACGGCGACATACGAGAGCAAGGGGCACTGCTTGTATACCAACTGTCCCCCGTCCCACGGCGACATACGAGAGCAAGGGGCACTGCTTCCTGGTGGAGGAAGGGTGGGAGAGCAAGGTGACCTGACCATGCACCAACCCCAATCCACTCAAACCCCTCTCTGCACCATTTAAACCCTTGGCAGCGCTGTGTGGTGATCCATGCAACGAGCAACATGACGATTGAAGACACGGTGACATACGAGAGCAAGGGGCACTGCTTCCTGGTGGAGGAAGGCTCGGAGAACAATAACGTTTTCAGGCGGAACCTGGGGATCAGCGTGAGAAAAGGTGGGTGCGGGTTGGTGTTGTGGGACATAGAAAGGGTGGGCGGGCTTAAAAACTGCTTTGACTGAGGGCAAGGGGCACTGCAAACCGGTGGAGGAGGAGGGGCTGGAGAATTATAATGTGTTTTGGAGGAACCTGGGGATCAGCGTTAGGAAAGGTGGGTGGGGAGCTGTTGGTGTGAGGGGTTGTTGAGACATAATGAGTTTGGGCGCGCTCAGAAGTGATTCTGCTGAGAGGGCAAGGGGCACTGCCTCTTCCTCGTGGAGGGGCACTGCCTCTTCCTCGTGGAGGGGCACTGCTCTTCCTCGTGGAGGGGCACTGCCTCTTCCTCGTGGAGGGGCACTGCCTCTTCCTCGTGGAGGGGCACTGCCTCTTCCTCGTGGAGGGGCACTGCCTCTTCCTCGTGGAGGGGCACTGCCTCTTCCTCGTGGAGGGGCACTGCCTATTCCTCGTGGAGGGGCACTGCCTCTTCCTCGTGGAGGGGCACTGCCTCTTCCTCGTGGAGGGGCACTGCCTTTCCTCGTGGAGGGGCACTGCCTCTTCCTCGTGGAGGGGCACTGCCTCTTCCTCGTGGAGGGGCACTGCCTCTTCCTCGTGGAGGGGCACTGCCTCTTCCTCGTGGAGGGGCACTGCCTCTTCCTCGTGGAGGGGCACTGCCTCTTCCTCGTGGAGGGGGCACTGCCTCTTCCTCGTGGAGGGGCACTGCCTATTCCTCGTGGAGGGGCACTGCCTCTTCCTCGTGGAGGAAGGGTCGGAGAATAACCAATGTGTTGAAGAGGAACCTTGGGATCAGCATGCGGAAAGGTGGGTGCTTGTTTGGGGTGTGATAGTGAGAGAGTGTGGAGGGTAATCCCCAAGGGGCACTGCTTCCTGGTGGAGGAGAGGCTCAGAGAATAATAATTCATTCAAGAGGAACCTTGGGATTAGCGTGAGGAAAGGTGGGTTGTTCTTGTTTTGTGGGCTAGAGTGAGGACGTGGGGCAGGAAGGAGAGAGGAGGAAGGCAAGCAAAAGGGTGTGTGAAGGAGTGAGAGGGCGTGAGAGGGCGTAAAAGAGGGGCGTGACAGGGGATGGAGGGTTTTTCTAGGAATTCCAAAAGATCCCAGAACGCGTAATGGGAGAAGTCAAATTCATGTTATTGTTTCGCGTATGTTTTTTTAGAATTCTCAAAAACACCCTGCAGCCTCAAAATCTGCCTGTATGCAACCGTGATGTGATGTGATTCCTTGCTTGCTGCTTGCCCCCTCTTTGAGGCGCCTCACAAGTCGTCTCATTACCCGCAACTTTTTTTGAGGCGCCTCAAAATCTGCCTGTATGCAACCGTGATGTGATTCTTGCTTGCTGCTTGCGCGCTTGCTGCCCCTCCTGCAGTGAAGGTGGTTATCCCCTCTAAAATCTGCTTGCCTCAAAATCTGCCTGTATGCAACCGTGATGTGATTCTTGCTTGCTGCTTGCGCGCTTGCTGCCCTTCCTGCAGTGAAGGTGGTTATCCCCTCTAAAGAGTCGTACGATAAGCACACAGACGACAAGCCCAGCACGTTTTGGATGGCCAACCCCAACAATGATTACATTGATAACGTGGCTGCTGGGTCGGAGGATTCAGGGTGAGTGAGTGAGTGAGTGAGTAGGGGGTGTAGTGATGTTTGGAGCAGCAGGGAAAGAGGGGTGATGCGATGGTGCAGGTAGCACGTTCTGGAGGGCCAACCCCAACAATGATTACATTGATAACGTGGCTGCTGGGTCGGAGGATTCAGGGTGAGTGAGTGAGTGTGAGTGAGTGAGTAGGGGTGTAGTGATGTTTGGAGCAGCAGGGAAAGAGTGGGTGATGCGATGGTGCAGGTAGCACGTTCTGGAGGGCCAACCCCAACAATGATTACATTGATAACGTGGCTGCTGGGTCGGAGGATTCAGGGTGAGTGAGTGAGTGAGTGAGTGAGTGAGTAGGGTGTAGTGAAGTTTGGAGCAGCAGGGAAAGAGTGGGTGATGCGATGGTGCAGGTAGCACGTTCTGGAGGGCCAACCCCAACAATGATTACATTGATAACGTGGCTGCTGGGTCGGAGGATTCAGGGTGTGAGTGAGTGAGTGAGTGAGTAGGGGTGTAGTGATGTTTGGAGCAGCAGGGAAAGAGTGGGTGATGCGATGGTGCAGGTAGCACGTTCTGGAGGGCCAACCCCAACAATGATTACATTGATAACGTGGCTGCTGGGTCGGAGGATTCAGGGTGAGTGAGTGAGTGAGTGAGTGAGTAGGGGTGTAGTGATGTTTGGAGCAGCAGGGAAAGAGTGGGTGATGCGATGGTGCAGGTAGCACGTTCTGGAGGGCCAACCCCAACAATGATTACATTGATAACGTGGCTGCTGGGTCGGAGGATTCAGGGTGAGTGAGTGAGTGAGTAGGTGGTGTAGTGATTTGGAGCAGCAGGGAAAGAGTGGATGATGCGATGGTGCAGGTAGCACGTTCTGGAGGGCCAACCCCAACAATGATTACATTGATAACGTGGCTGCTGGGTCGGAGGATTCAGGGTGAGTGAGTGAGTGAGTAGGGGTGTAGTGATGTTTGGAGCAGCAGGGAAAGATTGGGTGATGCGATGGTGCAGGTAGCACGTTCTGGAGGGCCAACCCAACAATGATTACATTGATAACGTGGCTGCTGGGTCGGAGGATTCAGGGTGAGTGAGTGAGTGAGTGAGTGAGTAGGGGTGTAGTGATGTTTGGAGCAGCAGGGAAAGAGTGGTGATGCGATGGTGCAGGTAGCACGTTCTGGAGGGCCAACCCCAACAATGATTACATTGATAACGTGGCTGCTGGGTCGGAGGAGGGTCAGGTGAGTGAGTGAGTGAGTGAGTGAGTAGGGGTGTAGTGATGTTTGGAGCAGCAGGGAAAGAGTGGGTGATGCGATGGTGCAGGTAGCACGTTCTGGAGGGCCAACCCCAACAATGATTACATTGATAACGTGGCTGCTGGGTCGGAGGATTCAGGGTGAGTGAGTGAGTGTGAGTGAGTGAGTGAGTAGGGGTGTAGTGATGTTTGGAGCAGCAGGGAAAGAGTGGGTGATGCGATGGTGCAGTGCAGGTAGCACGTTCTGGAGGGTAAACCCCAACAATGATTACATTGATAACGTGGCTGCTGGGTCGGAGGATTCAGGGTGAGTGAGTGAGTGAGTGAGTGAGTAGGGGTGTAGTGATGTTTGGAGCAGCAGGGAAAGAGTGGGTGATGCGATGGTGCAGGTAGCACGTTCTGGAGGGCCAACCCCAACAATGATTACATTGATAACGTGGCTGCTGGGTCGGAGGATTCAGGGTGAGTGAGTGAGTGAGTGAGTGAGTGAGTAGGGGGTAGTGAAGTTTGGAGCAGCAGGGAAAGAGTGGGTGATGCGATGGTGCAGGTAGCACGTTCTGGAGGGCCAACCCCAACAATGATTACATTGATAACGTGGCTGCTGGGTCGGAGGATTCAGGGTGAGTGAGTGAGTGAGTGAGTGAGTAGGGGTGTAGTGATGTTTGGAGCAGCAGGGAAAGAGTGGGTGATGCGATGGTGCAGGTAGCACGTTCTGGAGGGCCAACCCCAACAATGATTACATTGATAACGTGGCTGCTGGGTCGGAGGATTCAGGGTGAGTGTGAGTGAGTGAGTGAGTGAGTAGGGGTGTAGTGATGTTTGGAGCAGCAGGGAAAGAGTGGGTGATGCGATGGTGCAGGTAGCACGTTCTGGAGGGCCAAACCCAACAATGATTACATTGATAACGTGGCTGCTGGGTCGGAGGATTCAGGGTGAGTGAGTGAGTGAGTAGGGGTGTAGTGGTGTAGTGATGTTGGAGCAGCAGGGAAAGAGTGGGTGATGCGATGGTGCAGGTAGCACGTTCTGGAGGGCCTACCCCAACAATGATTACATTGATAACGTGGCTGCTGGGTCGGAGGATTCAGGGTGAGTGAGTGAGTGAGTAGGGGTGTAGTGATGTTTGGAGCAGCAGGGAAAGAGGGTGATGCGATGGTGCAGGTAGCACGTTCTGGAGGGCCAACCCCAACAATGATTACATTGATAACGTGGCTGCTGGGTCGGAGGATTCAGGTGAGTGAGTGAGTGAGTAGGGGTGTAGTGATGTTTGGAGCAGCAGGGAAAGATTGGGTGATGCGATGGTGCAGGTAGCACGTTCTGGAGGGCCAACCCAACAATGATTACATTGATAACGTGGCTGCTGGGTCGGAGGATTCAGGGTGAGTGAGTGAGTGAGTGAGTGAGTAGGGGGTGTAGTGATGTTTGGAGCAGCAGGGAAAGAGTGGGTGATGCGATGGTGCAGTAGCACGTTCTGGAGGGCCAACCCCAACAATGATTACATTGATAACGTGGCTGCTGGGTCGGAGGATTCAGGGTGATGAGTGAGTGAGTGAGTGAGTGAGTAGGGGTGTAGTGATGTTTGGAGCAGCAGGGAAAGAGTGGGTGATGCGATGGTGCAGGTAGCACGTTCTGGAGGGCCAACCCCAACAATGATTACATTGATAACGTGGCTGCTGGGCGGACGATTCAGGGGTGAGTGAGTGAGTGAGTGAGTAGGGGTGTAGTGATGTTTGGAGCAGCAGGGAAGAGTGGGTGATGCGATGGTGCAGTGCAGGTAGCACGTTCTGGAGGGTAAACCCCAACAATGATTACATTGATAACGTGGCTGCTGGGTCGGAGGATTCAGGGTGAGTGAGTGAGTGAGTGAGTGAGTAGGGGTGTGTAGTGATGTTTGGAGCAGCAGGGAAAGAGTGGGTGATGCGATGGTGCAGGTAGCACGTTCTGGAGGGCAACCCCAACAATGATTACATTGATAACGTGGCTGCTGGGTCGGAGGATTCAGGGTGAGTGAGTGAGTGAGTGAGTGAGTGAGTAGGGGTGTAGTGATGTTTGGAGCAGCAGGGAAAGAGTGGGTGATGCGATGGTGCAGGTAGCACGTTCTGGAGGGCCAACCCAACAATGATTACATTGATAACGTGGCTGCTGGGTCGGAGGATTCAGGGTGAGTGAGTGAGTGAGTGAGTGAGTGAGTAGGGGTGTAGTGATGTTTGGAGCAGCAGGGAAAGAGTGGGTGATGCGATGGTGCAGGTAGCACGTTCTGGAGGGCCAACCCCAACAGCGACTGCATTAAAAACGTGGCTGCTGGGTCGGAGGGACTCGGGGTGAGTGATTGAGTGAATGAGGATTGTGATTTGCCAAACCCAACAACGGCTGCATTGAAGAGAAAAAATCAGCTACTTGTCTCAATTGTCATTTGTGCATCCTTTTGTCAGGTAATGAGCAGCAGCTTAAAGGACACAATCCAGAATTACCGTGTTGGCCCCAAACTGTCACCACTTTCGTGTGATTGGTCGAAGGTTTTGAGTGGGTTTTTGACGCGATGGTTCTCGATTTCCCCACCGAACGTGTCTCTGGGGTTTCCCGAACCTACAATTTTTTCGTTGACTCCGTTGTGTAATTCTGGGTGTGGCCTTTAAGGTGGGGATGCAGGGTCCATCTATGTATCTCCGCACTTACTTCGCCCTTGCCTTGATTTGTGTGATTCTTTTTGTACTTTCTTGCCAATGTTTTGTCACAATCTGCACCTCCTGTAACAGGTACTGGACGGAGCTTAAGGAGGGGATGAGGGGTCTATCCCAGCTCCTACCCAACGCCCGCAACATGCACCCTATAGAAACCAAGTTCGGCTTACTCGGGAAATGTGGCGCATTCAGCCAAGTTGGGTTCCGCTCCTACCCCCATGCATGTTTCCCTATGCGCCCGGTGCTAGGGTGAGTGCTACTGTCGTGCTAGTGCTCGTGCTTGCTAATGCCACAGCATGCATGCACTCCGTACCATAGAGGCCAAAGTTTGGGTTTCCGCTCCTGCCCCCACGGCATGTCCCCTACGCTCCTGGTGCCAGGGTGAGTGTACATGCTACTGTGCGTGCCAGTGCGCATGCTTGTCTTCTTGCTAGTGCCACGGCATGAGTCCCATAGAAACCAAGTTTGGCCTTTACTCAGGGAATGTGGCACATTCAGCCAAGTTTGGGTTCTGCTCCTACCCCTGCGCCATGTTCCCTTTGCTCCTGGTGCTAGGGTGAGTGCCCTGTGTGTGAGTGTGCGAGTGAGTGCTCTTTCTTGCCGGTTGCAAAGCAGCATTCAGCCCACACCATACATACAGACCAACCAAGTTTGAATTCTTCTTCTTCCCCCGGGCATGGAGTGTGTGGCATGTTCCCTAACGCTCCTGGTGCGAGGGTTAGTGCACCCGAGTGTGTGTGCGCAGAGGAACACCCGAGTGTGTGTGCGCAGAGGAACACCAGGACTTTCTCTTTATGCTACAGCACCTGAGTGTGTGTGTGCAGCTCTTAAGCTATCCCC